GAAATAATAATAATAATAATAATAGGTGTATATGTCACGAAGCCCGTGAGACATGCCCAATGCATGATCAAATGCATGATCAAATCCGACTTAAGAAACTATAGACCAGTTAGCCTAACCAGCATCCTCTGCAAATGCATGGAGAAACTGGTTAACGAAAATGTGTCAACATCTACTGCGTTACTCCTTACTAAGCGGGGTGCAGCACGGATTCTTAAAACATAAATCCTGTCTCACTAACCTTCTGTGCTATCTGGATGAAGTCACAGAGAGGCTAGATGAGGGCCATATCGATTTTAGAAAAGCTTTCGACTCTGTAAATCACAGATTGCTCCGTCACAAAATCAAAAGCTTTGGGCTAGGAGGAAATCTACATAGATGGTTAACCGCTTTTCTCACAAATCGAACCTTCGCAGTGAGCTTAGGGGAGGCTAGTTCTCAGGTCATTCGATTGACTAGTGGAGTGCCTCAAGGTTCGGTTCTCGAACCGTTACTTTTCCTCTTATTTATCAACGACTTGGTGGGGTTAACCAACTCACCCTGTTTCGTCTTCGCGGATGACGTGAAGGTGGTGGGATCGAGTGGCAGGGCCAACCTAGCGAGCAACATTGAACGGGTTGTTGAGTGGTCAAATAATAATGATAATAATAACGGTATATTTCGCGAAGCCCGCGAAGCATGCTAGTGTGCACGATCAATGTGTACAACAAAATGAACAGTGGAGATAAAAGGTAAGAGTACAGAGTGTAGGAACGTAAATTGCAAACAGGTTCGTAAAAATTCGTAAACGAACCTTGCATTGAAAACGAAACACAAAGCGGACAAGGTCATAAAATGGAGTATCGGGGATGATCACTTATGTAAAGCACACAGTTGTGAGCGATTGCCTTATGAAAAGTAAGGGCAAGACAGAAAATCTGGAGTTGGACAATCCGCTTGGGAGCAAATGTGTGTAAAGAAGTTCAAAACAGAAGGAGGAAAGCGGAGAAGAAAGATTTATAATTTCAGAGGCAGAGCTGCAGTGGAGTTGAAGGAGAGTACAGTAATTCAAGAGACGCAGATGGCTTATAAATAAACTGTTTCAAATGTCGATATAGTTGAAAGGACTTCTGTGATCAGGGAACAACGGGCTTCGGGCTTCATCGTTAACGGACTGCTTGGCTTTTATTTATATCATTGAGGCGTTGGTCGCTTTGATGTGGGACTGACTGCAAGCTAGACACCGTAAAACACCTTGTAGGTGAGGCAGCGGGTGTGATCCTCAACCTGGTCCGGAATGCGGACGCATGTAGTCAAAAACGGTGGATACAACCGCGCCCATCAACCATTGCCGGAGTCAAACTGTCCATTGTGGGTGTAGACCCCAGGCATTCGGCAGGCCCAAGCCAACCGAATCTGAAAGAAAAAGGCGAACCTCGGCGGTCTGGGTTAATACCCATCTGAGAAGGGAAGAGGGGAACAGCGTGTTACGAAAGAATATGCGGAGAGCGTAACTGCCTGAATTTACATATATATATATATATATATTTAACAGCAAATTGCACACGATAAAAGCAAGTCCAAAAGATAGAAAGATCCAGAGTAACAGGGTTTAAACACAACAGGATTGAAATATAAAGTGAAGAATTAAGTTCGAGAAGTGTACAATGTCTGACGAGATGCTTAGTCAAGATGCCATTTGTGAAAGATCACCAAATGGATATATGGGATTGGGGTACATGTTTAGTTGTGGATAAGTGACATTACTTTTATCAAGTATTTACCGAGTTGGGTTGGTTCCACTTCTCGAGGTTTGAGACTCGGGAAGTGTACTGTGTGAGAGTAGACAATGGGATGCAATGTGAGCACAACTGTTGCATCTCAATGTGTTACAGGTAGAGGGAAGCTTAGAGGTGAGTAAGTGAGATATTGCACTGAATGCGGTTGAGTGTCAACAATTGACCAAGTGTTAGGACGGAGCGCACAAAATCCGTCCTGCCACGCAGCAACGCGCGTCACACCACAAGTGCGCTCGTGACGCCCAAGCCGAATCGACTCATGACTGGATGAATAAGGCAAATCAAATAGCTGTCTTCCGGTCGATCAACCTGAGTGTCAAGGTCACGATCTGATTGGCGCGTCACCACGTCTGCTCGCGTACGCCCAACTGACCACATATATTTGCTTGTTGTTTCATGATCAAGAATACACTCTGACTGTCGTTTCTCAGAAGTGTTCTTTCTCCAGCTGTTGGAGCCTAGGCAAAGAGGAGTACGTATCGATCACATCGTCTTGACACAAGACATAACACACATAACACAAGCAAACAGATCCCTTAGTTGAGGCTGGAACGTAGGGAGTGTTTGGAGTCAAACCGGTAGAAACTGCTAAGGATCTTGTGATAGTAATGAATTCGGAGTTCACCTGGGGCAGCCAGTGCGAAATCGCAGCTCGCAAGGCACGGGGAGAACGTTTCCGGCTCAGATCTGCTCTTTCTTGCAGAAAACCAGAAACCTTCGTCCCCTTATACAAGGCGATAGTAAGGCCTCATCTAGAATACTGTGTCCAAGCCTGGGCACCTCTGCACAAAAAAGACGCTGCTTGCCTGGAAAAAGTGCAGAGACTAGCTACAAGAATGGTAGAGGGGCAGAGAGATAAATCATGCCAGGAAAGATTAGGGGACCTCGATCTATTTTCGCTAGAAAGAAGGCGAATTAGAGGAGACCTCATAGAAGCGTTCAAAATTAGGAGTGGATTCTCTGGGATTCTTCCTGAGGAGCTCTTCATTGATGCCCCGTATGCTGGTGCCAGGGGCCACGAGCACAAACTGATGAAGAAAAGGAGTAGGCTAGGTGTGACGTCCAACCACTTCAGCAATAGAATAGTCAAAAAATGGAATAGACTACCCGAGGAACTAGTCAACTTGTCTAGTATCCACGCCTTCAAACTGGCTTTGGATAAGAGGTGGTTAGAACTGTTTCCAAACAAGGAGTACTGAACAGAATGCGACCGTTAGGTTCAT